AGCCATACCGGTGCATCTACTCACTCTGGGCAGTAAATATTTAAAGATGTGTTTTTCCTTAATGGGACCCAGACGCATCTGACCAGTTGCTTAGACCATTTAGTAATGTGGTCAAAGTCATCATACTGCTATTTTACATCAACTTTTTAATTAGATAATTCATCACCTTATTAATTCAAAATATTGCTTTCTTTTCTATTTCATAGCATACTACCATCATGAAACCCAACTGAGTTCATTAATCAAAGGCCTCTAAAATTTATGTAAACTTGATGCTCAAGTGACAAACACACTCCTGACCTTTCAAACAACAACAGTCATATCCAGCCCACAAATCAGACCATGCATGACACTGAAGCCAGACCGGACAGCTATATCCAGAATGCAAGGGATCATAGAATTGAAAAGTGAAGACTGAAACGGTTTTTTTTTTTGCTTTTTCCTGTGGTTCTCTGTTTACCAAAGAATAAAAATGGCATAAGAAAGGGTTATTTAGTGGGTTTTCCCCCTGTGTATTTATACTTTTTACTAAAATTGTGAAGCTATTGCAAAATATCACATTGATTATTTAATAAAACTCTAGGTCTTCAAAGTGTAAGATAGCCAAATGAAAATATATAAAACTGACTGTTGCATTGGTCTTATTTCTAACATGGTTGAAAATACAGTATCACTTATTTATTTGCAAATTACAAATTAGTGATGTTCTTGTTTTAACACATTTTTCACTGTTTCTCCATAGTAGAGGAAATCTTCCCCAGTAGGAATCTACTCAGAATGAAATGGAATACAAGAAGTATCACAGTACAAAAAACAGTTCCTCAAAACCACTTTCAAATCTATGCAATGTACACTGCAAAGCCAGTTGTGGCTCACACAGTAATCATTACATTTGGGAAAGGTGAGCTTCAGAGGTCACATATGTCCTCCCAAAGAGTGAAAATAATATGCTACAAGGAGAATTATTATGTTGTTTGAAAGAGAGAGGGAGGGACCATCTTCCCAAACAGATGTGGAGTTGCTAATCAAAAATTTCCTGAAAGTTGCACAACACTGTAAAATTAAACACTACCTCGCAGAGCTCTGGAAACACTAACAGTGGCATATGTTCTGTGGTCAGGAAGGTCACCTTTATTCTTGTTGCTTCCAATTGAATATATTTTTGAAGCATTCTATGCAACTAGCTCATGTTCTATCACATTTTTAATCAGTCTATCAAATACATTTTCAGAAAGGTCGTAAATCCAGACAACAGGTATATTTTTCTAGAATCATGCAAAATAAACCCAAAAGGTATTTTCCCTGTGCAAAAAATAAACTCAAAACTTGTTTACTAAAAGTTTAACCTATTAACCATTATTGAAAATAATTATGAGACAGAAAACACTAGCCATTCCATGCCATTTGGAACTTATGAGCACTAAAATAATCTTGTAATTTTATTCATGCTCTTAAGATACATATGAGAAAGAGTCTATTTATAACCTATGATTTTTGTTTCTTGTTCTGTGTTAAGAGAGACTCCACTAAAAATCTATCAAAACAAATACACAAATTCAATAACATTGCAGGATACAATTAACATTATTATTTTTACACTCTGATAATAAACTTGCTGAAAAGAAATCATGACTTAAAAACTGCTCTTACTAGAGGAAAATGTCGGTTCTTGTTTCAAAATTTCTTCTCATAAGGACAGAAATTCTCGAATCTCAAGAGATACCAGCACTGGGCATGACAGCAAGCAGCCATCTGAAACTCTGGTTTCCAGTCAGTCACAGGCTATGCTCACAACTGTAGGACAGCACAGGGAGACTTAAAATACTAATATCTTACACTCAAATACTAATTAAGTAGGGAGGTAGCAGCAGTGGTCATAGAAATTAATAATGCATGTCAGTTAACCATGCCATTATGGATGAAGGAGACGATATTATTCTTCCCATTTACAGATGGGCTCATATAGGTGGAGAAAATGTCACTGCCTGGGCTGAAGAGAGTGATAGAATCATCAGACTACTCAGCCTCCCAATTATATCTTTCCTCAAACTGTAATCTACTAACCTTAAAGGTTTATGTCTGTGATCAGTAGGATGCATACATTCTCTATTTGTAGCAAACGTTCAAGACCCAATCAGTTGTCCTTCCACTATGAATCCATTACAACATCTACCAGAAATGTGAGAAGGTAGACTGGAAGGAACAAGCATGTGGAGGAGGGATAAGGAAGGGGACAAATAGCCCCTCTTCTCTGAACAATTTGGAAGTGAGTTGAAGAGGTAAGTCTGGCCTTCATCTTTTTTTTTTATTTTATTTTTTATTGTGAGAATACCGTACAGAGGAGTTACAATTACATGGGCAAGATAACAAGTACATTTCTTACCAAGCATTGTTGCCTCCTCTTTGTCTCTCCTTCCCATCCTCCCCCTGGCCTTCATCTTTATGAGCATATCAACAATAGTGTGCTCACCAACTTCTCTAGATACCTTCTTTGTTAGATAAGCAGTCATTACCTTTCATTTCTCATACCTGATACTTGTTTCACTCAGGCACAAGCTCCCAGGAACACACAACCTAAGATATAAACATTTAAAAAAAAAGTTTTTCCATTCCTTTATGAATGGAGCAATGCCATTCTTTCTGATGGAAGCATAGAATTCCATTGTGTATATATACCACATTTTCTTGATCCATTTGTCCACTGAAGGGCATATGGGTTGATTCTATAGCTTAACTTTGGTAGACAATGCTGCAATGAAATGGTTGTGCTGATGGCTTTAGTGTAGACTGCTTTGTAGTCATTTGGATAAATGCCCAGGAGTGGGATTGCTGGGTCAGAGGGGAACTCTATGTTTAGTCTTTTGAGGAACCTCCACACTGCTTTTTAGAGTAGACAAACAAGTTAGCATTCCCACCAACAGTGTAGTTGCATTCCTTTTTGGCCCTATCCCTGCCAGCATCTGTTATTGTTAGTTTTCTTGATAATGGTCACTCTAACTGGAGTGAGGTGGATTCTCAATTATATTAAGTGAAGTATGCCAGACCCAAAGAAACACAGGTTGCATGGTTTCCCTCATTTGTGGCTCACACCTGTAATCCTAGCTACTCAAGAGGCTGAGATCTAAGAATCATGGTTTGAAGGCAGCCCAGGGAGGAAAGTCCATGAAACTCTTACCTCCAATAAACCACTCAGAAAACCGAAAGTGGTGCTGTGGCTTAAGTGGTAGAGCTCTAGCCTTGAGCTGAAGAGCTGAGGGGCAGCACCCTGGCCCAGAGTTCAAGCCCCATAACCAATAAAATATATACATACTGTTTTTCCTAGGAGATGGGAGGGTTTATTACACATTTCTCTACTTTTGTCTACATCTGAAAGCATTCACAATCGAAGAGTAAAATAAAATACAAGCTCTCAGAATTCCATATACCTTTGATGAGGGGGTAGAGGATACGAAAGAGCTGAGATCAGGGCTGGAACAGATCAGGGACAACACCCAGGCTTTGAGTCTGAACTCCAGGACCAGAAAAAAAAAAAAAAAAAGCTGAGAATGTCTATTACCAACACAGATCCTGATGAACACTTAAGAAGGGGACCAAAAGCAAAACAACACAGGATATATTTGAGGCCAAGGGAAGCTTTCTTCAAAGGCTGAGGGAGATGAGTTCACAATGAACTTACCCAGACTGACATGTGTGTGTGTACGTATATGCACACATACATACATACACAAATTCATACCTGCATAAATACACATACACAGGCACATGTATACACATGTATGCATATAAGCATACATATGAAAGCAGCCACTGTAGGCAGTGAGTGCACTGTGGGTACCCATTTCCTCTGCAAGTTTACAATGGTGGACTCATACTTCTCCAGCCACTTCCAATTTGCTGGATGAGATTTGCATCACACACACATACCATGCTGTGAGCTCAGGAGCGCATCCCTGAGATGGCAGGGGACAAAAAGGAGGAAAACAGAGAATAGAAAGAACAGTTTGATGTCTCAAAGAAATTTATGAACAGAAAAGTAACTACAAGTGATAAAAAATTTACTGAGGACTATCTTAGGCAGAAACAACACATCTGGGTCCAACTGACTCTCCAAAGTTCCAAAGATGTGTAAGATCTACTTCTGTAGCAAAAACATATACAAGTGTATGGGGAGAAAGACAGCATATTAAAACTCTGTCAAAAAAATTATCCTTTGTCATGTCCAAAACGAGCTTTACAACTTTGGTGGGGGGGAGGGAGGATTGTGTGTGGAGGGGGGGGGGGGAGGCTGGGAAGGGATGTGAAGGGTAAACAAAGGAGTAGGCTGCAATGCTTGATAAGAAATGTACTCATTATCTTACCCATGTAATTGTAACCCCTCTGTACAGTATGTTCACAATAAAAAAAAGGAAAATCTGCACCAAAAAAAATAAATAACAAGCATAGCACAAATAATGAGTGTGGTATTTATTTCCAGAACTAATGTATTCAATAAAAAGAAAGGATATCAAAATTTATACTTT